TATACATATATATATAAAAGGGTCAAAAGGGGTCTCAAAACATAACACGCTTTTCTCGTTTCCGAGATTGGATGATATTTATTTGTAAACAATGCTTCATTGTTCGGGTTTAAGTATAATAGAAAGATTAAATACTCACACAGGCAAAAAACACACATTTTGGACCGACATTAAAGTAGCTGCTGTAACATTCAACTCATGTTGCCTGACTGTTTGAGATAAGAGAGCTGCTCCAAGGGATGTGACTGTTAGTAAACGGCTTCCACATAAAGTGAACCCAAAGTGCAATACCAGATTTCACCTTTGGTCTGATGCCAGTCATGTCCGCCTCTCGGAGGGTGCTGCAATGCACAGGCCGATGTGGTTAAATAGAATTCCACACTGAAAACAAGACAGTAAAAGAACCTAAAACACACTGTAACTGGTATTATTCAAGCCCAGCCTTGAATCTCTAAGATGAGGGATTAAATTGTTTTTTTATGCACAAATGAAAGTATGTGCAGTTTAAGAACATAGCAGGGAAAGTGGACAGATCTTACACCCTCAGGTGCTCTTAAAGCTTTTAACTACATTCAGCCTTAGCAACTAATTGGAAATGCATTAAATCTTCTAATGGCCAACGCAAACAGTGGCAAAGCTTTTAGCAAAGAGCAGCGTTGGAAAGGAGACTGATTGAAAGACAAATTAATGAAAAAGGAGCAGTTGAATAAATTGGTTGTAGATTTAGAATTACACAAACAACCGTATTTAAACTTGGGATACAGGCACATGTGACAAGAGTTTATGTTTGAATTTGCTGGATTAATAATCGCTGTTATTAAGAAGTGGGACTTAGATGTTGACTGTTCATCTGGCATTTCCTGTGTATTTATTAAAGCTGTCTCTCATTTATGCTGTCCATGTGTTACTGTTCGTCTGTGCTTGAAGGAATAAAAACCTTTTGTGAATATATATATATATATATATATAATGTTAAAAAAAACGCTGTAAAAATGATTTGACTAAAAAAATTTGGTTAATAGTTTGCGCAAAACTAGCCCATTCAATCACATAATGAAAAAAGAAAAACTAGATAAGACACGCGCGTCATAGCTAAGTAGCCAATAGTAGCAGGCTCGTGCTCTGTGGCACTATAACTACCAACCAATCAGTGGTCAGAGATTA